TCTGCCTGGCTCCTGAGTTACTGTCTGCTCTGTGGTACAGAGTCCTGATGACTCCTAACTTGTGCTCCAGCAGGTGATGGGAGTGAAACTGCAAATACTGGTCTATGTGGGTGTGTTTCAGGTACACGTCAATGTGCATGTGAACAACTAGTTTTGGCTGTCACCAGCAAACTGATAAGAAGTTTCTGCTTATAAAACTGAGTTTGTTTGCAGCTCCTCAGTCTGAAGAAGTCTTTTGGATAAAAGCCTAAACTTTTCAACAAAGAAGAATCTGTCCAGAGGACCTGACTCAACCTGGTTTAATTTATCTACCAGGATTATCAGGACAATCGTAATTTATCTTAAAATATTTGATTTTGCTAAAGTATTAGTCTTTATAGAGAAAGTTGACTTACTGGTGATGAACAAAGGGAGCAGTTGCAGATTGGTTTGGTTTTGAACATTAGTAACCTAAATGTATAAAATTAGGTGAAATATAACAATGCCAACTATTAGATGTTCATGTTAAACCTTGCTCTGTAATCTTAATTTATTTTACTGTCATTTCACTTTGTTTGAATAACACTGTCAAAGTGCTATGGTATTGCTGCTAACAGACAATTTAAAAGAAACGTCCATTTCATCGTGTTATTAGCTAAATGTTCGGAAATATGAGCAAGTACAGAACAGTTTTGTGTATTTGTGCACTTATTATACGACTTGCTATGTTGATGTAGCCAACATATTGTAGATTAGGAAAATGTTTAATCCAAGAAAGCTGTAAATACATGATAAAAGCGGTCAAAATAGAGACATGGTCAAATAAATGCTTTGCAAAGCTGCCACGTCTTGTTGCCTTTACAACATAAAGGATTTTATTTTACTATTTATTTGTGGAGACATCTGGTAATATTACTGCAGCTTAAGTTCCTTGAAGACCTCATACTTTGGTTATTTTAGATGTTTCTGAAGCAGGAGATAAAGGGGAAAAAATAAAAACTATAAAGTGAGCTGTTCGATGCGTGAATGACTACAGTTTATAAAAATCATAATTAAAAGGAATATGAACTATATTAAATTGTTATATAAGACTGTTAAATGGTTTCTTTGATCTGAAACTAGCTAATCACTGATCCATGTTTGAAACAAGAGTTGGTGTTTCTGTCTTTCAGTTCTTGCTTCTTTTAACGATTTGTGTCTAAAAAAATGTGATTTTTCTAGTTATCTTCAACAAAATTAATGGTTTTTGGCAAGTTACTTGAACATTAGACTTTCTGGGCATGTCGGCTGCAAATATTTATGCAAAATTAGTCTTTACCATTACTTAGGGCTGGACAATAATTCGATATCGATATATATCACGATATAATTTTATTCAATCACGGTGATATGAGTTTTAAGCATATTTTCGATATTTCGATAGGATTACAGCGTTTCACTGACACAGTTCTTATTCTGTTTGGGTTGAAGCGGCTGCTTCGGTTTCAACCCAGACAGAAAAAGGTGCGACACACTACGCAAGTTCGTGGTGATGAAGATGTTACGCAGAGCTCGAGTCCAGAAGGAGTCAGCAGTAGAAGGCTAGGCTAATCTCAACGCACGTTGAGTTTTTGCTTCAAAATGAGTTCCCATGACATCAGAATGTGAATGAATAAGCTTTCACAAGTGAAGAGAAAGCAGATGACATAACTGATAAGATAGGAAAGATTAATTTGACAGTGTGGAAGTGGTTCAGCTATCCAAGATCTGATAAAGTGCAGGTTTCAGTGTGGTGCACAATGTGACGGAGAGTCGTTCCAACTAACGGCAGGAACACAATGAACTTGTTTCATCCAAAGAGTTTCCACTTGATAGAATATGATGAGTCAGAAGATGAAGCACAATAAAGTTTGAGCCAACGTGTCCCTGACACCCCCCCCCCCCCCCCAGCTGCATCAAAAGAGAAACACATGCAGGGGTTAGGTTATGTTGTTGTTTAAAGTTAAAACTATTAATATTGACAAAGTTGAGAGTTTTGTTTATTTTATAGATTTCAAATTTCTTTGAAGGCTAAGTACAAATAAAAGGTGAACATTAATTTATTTGTACAGCTTTTCTGAGGCTTTTATATTGTTTATATCGATATCGGAATTATATCGTTATCGACTGAAATTAATAAATATATCGTGACAAAAGTTTTGTCCGTATCGTCCAGCCCTACCATTACTCTTGTTTTGTAAATGTTTTTATTTCAGGTTTAGAGTTGATTTATTAGGAGCTGCAATTGTATTTCTGTGACTGTTGCAATTTTCTTTCATGTTTTTGGTTAATTTAGCTTCCATTTCTTGGTGCAACTCTTGAGAAACAAATTTTGTAATTACTGAGTCGCACTGAAATTTAAAAGTATCAGATAGAAATAATATATATTTTAATATCTATAGATTGCTGTGAAAGTTTTGTTTTTCATTCTTGTAAGAAGATCTCAACAAAATCCATCCATCTTCCGCTTGGTCCGCAGTCGGGTCTCGGGGGCAGCAGCTTGAGCAGGGAGGTCCAGACATCTCTTTCCACAGCTCTTCTGGGAGGACTCCAAGGTGTTCCCAGGCCAACCGAGAGACAATCTCTTGCATGTCCTGGGTCTTCAGACATGCCTGAAGCACCTCCCTAGTGAGTCGCCCAGGGGGACATCCTTACCAGATGCCTGAACCACCTCAACTGGCCCCTCTCGATGCGAAGGAGCAGTGGTTCTACTCTGAGTCTCTCCCGGATAACTGAACTTCTCACCCCATCTCTAAGGGAGAGTCCAGCTACCCTGCAGATGAAAGTCATTTCAACCGCCTACATCTGTGATCTCATTCTTTCAGTCACTACCCAGAGCTTGTGACCATAGGTGAGGGTAGGAACGTAGACCGACTGATAAACTGAGAGCTTTGCCTTACAGCTCAGCTCCTTCTTCACCACAACAGACCGGCGCAGAGTCCGCAATACTCCAGATGCTGCACTAATCCATCTGTCAGTCTCGCGCTCCATTCTTCCCTCACTCGTGAACAAAACCCTGAGGTACTTGAACTCCTCCACTTGAGGCAGAACCTCACCTTCGACCTGAAGAGAGCAATCCACCCCCAGATTTGGAGGTGCTGATTCTCATCTCAGCCGTTTCACTGCTGTAAACCGCTCCAGTGAAAGATGAAGATCACGGCATGATGATGCCAGCAGGACCACATCATCTGCAAAGAGCAGAGATGGAATCCTGAATCCACCAAACCAGAATCTCTACCCCCCCCTCCCCCGGCTGCACCAAGAAATTCTGTCCATAAAAGTTATGAACAGAATCGGGAACAACAGGCAGCCCTGGTGGAGTCCAACTCCCACCCTTAAGGGGTCCAACTTACTACTGGCAATGCGAACCAAACTCTCGCACCACTTGTATAGGGACTGAACAATCGATCAACAAAATAATTACATGTTACAAAGGAAGTACAGAGTTGGAACTACCGGTACATCACGTTAAACTGAGTAAAAGCTTAAATTTTAACTCCTAATGTTGATGTGGTCTCAGTAAGACGGCATCCTGTTTGTCTGCTTTCCCTCCCACTCCCCTCCATTTATCTGTTTTTAATGTCAGGTCTCCCAGTTAGTCACTGCTGTGAAAGGAGGGCCTGTGGCAGAGGAATGTTTGTGATTTCTTTCAAGATTGTCACCTGACTCCCTCTGGTTTATTCACAGTTCCAACGAAATTCCTCTGCCTTATACTTTAACAGAAATAACTTAGCCTCTTGGATTTGTAATAAAAAATTGTATCAGAAAGCCTGATAAACCTTGCAATAGAAAACCTGTCACCAGGATGTTCATATTGCTGCTGCGTGAGTTGGAGTTTGGTATGCATTTTAAGAGCATGGTGTTGGGTCCTGATGGTTCTGTTTCTATTTACTCTTAACTAATTGTTAACAGCTGCATGTGGGATAACTGGGAATATTTTGCTTTGGTGTGTCTGACAGGGTGTGCATGCTCTTACACTGTGTAATAAAATTATGTCACTTTGCTGATCCTGCAGCCGTAGGCATCGCCCTGTCAGAAGCTGGCTGTTTAATGGAACAATTGACCCCACTGCCACTCCCAAATGCCAGATCACAGATCTGCTTTACAGCGTAATGCTTGACTTTACACCTCTGGGCTCCACAATCTAGACAAAATCTGCTGTTTTTAGTACTTTGTTTCATGAAAATGCTAATAAATGAATAAATAAATTGGCAGTGCCTGTTTAGGTAATTGTCATAGTAAAGAGTAGACAGGTAGAACATAGATTATGAAGCTCAGAATTAATATGTTATATTAAACGTCATTTAGTGAAATTGTGCTTTTGGAAAGCAAAAAAAAGACTGGTAAGTACTGTTTTATGTAGCTTATGTAAAATGAATAAGCATTGTGTTGCTTCACTGAAGTGCACATTAAAACACTGATTAATTCAGTGCATTTCAGAGAGATATGTAAAAAAAGGGTGATTTTAATTTAAGATTAAATGCATGATGTGTTAATATCATATGGTGGAAAAGATAGTATCTTTTTATCAATCATCTTTTACGGCTATAATTCTAGTGAACTGTCATCACATTGCTGTTGTTGACTTTAGTTTTTTCTTCAGTTTGTTCATTTGATGTCCAGTTGGAAAACTACCGTAGTAATTTTTCACAACGGTTTAGCCACTATGATAGCCTTTTGTTTCATGACGTTGAAAACAAAATTATGCACTGTATATGTGCAAGGTGCACTGTTTGTTCTAAAATATTTTTTTCATTAGGTTGCAGTAAAAATATGGCTTGAAGCTAAATTGATTTTTTTTTTTTTTCTGTGTAGGTGTACAGGTCCTGCTCTGTCCTAAGATAAACATTACTCAGTGATACAAGAACCTTTTTTTTTTCCCCAGACTTTCCATGCATTTTGCAGAGTTCATAAGGTTTTGTGCACAATTACTAATCTTTATTCTGTTCTCTGCTTCTCTCTGTGGCCTCTCGCTCTCCTCCCACCTCTTCGATGGATTCCAGGCTGAGTCTGGATATGGATCAGAAACAAGTTTGAGGCGTCATGGCTCCATGTTGTCTCTCACCTCAGCTGCTAGTGCCTTGTCTTCCACATCCACATCCTCCTTCAAGGTAAAGACGTAAATAAATCACCTGTGACTAAGTTGAAATATTTACTTAATAAAATGTGAAAATATGATGCCGTACTTTTAAACAAAATCTCAAGTGTTTTCAAGACTTTAGCATCTTTTTTGACTGTATGGTTGGAGCCTTACAGAGCAGGTATCAAGTACAGTGTATCTGCTGAGTACAGTAGTCCCTCACTTATCACAGGGGTTACGTTCCAGACGCCCCTGCGGTAAGTGAAAATCCACAAAGTAGGGATGTTGTATTTATTTTAGTAAATAAGTAAATTTAAACTACTAAATAAATTTAGAAGTACTGGTATATATTTTAAGGCTTTATAAACTCCTCCCACACTCTTGCAATGTTCTTAACAACGTTCTAAATTCTTGAACCTACATAATTTAAACAATATGTGTGTATGTACTGTACAGCACTGCTAAATTTTATATGGGTACTCACCATTGAAGATACTACTACAACTTGAAGGATGAGTTCAGCTTCAGGATTATTTGTGACTTTCCTGCCAGTTCTGTGATAGTTACTTCTGTCTTTGCATTGCAAAACAATTTTTACCACCGCGGTTTCTCCACTAGTGTTTGCTCCCTCCATTACTGTTCTTTGAATTTCAGCAGAAAGCAGCGGCTGGAAGCACTCTTGATTTCTGGGCTGTGTAGTTCTTTTGACTTGCGTTACAGTGTAGGCTTATTGAAAGAAAACTACAAAATGGCGGCACCTGTCCAAAGTTTTTTTGTTTGTTTTTGTTTTTTGTCCTATTGGTTGGTTCCCTCTCCTGTCCGCTCCTCTTGACGTTTTATCCTGTACTGTCCCAATCGTTGAGTAATATTAAAGACAGTCGTGTACAATCTTACATTGAAAACCCCACAAAAGAGTGAGTCCACGAAAGTCGAGCCGCAAAGTATCAAGGGACTACTGTGCTATGAATTGGTATTAAAAACTTATTTTGTGTAACAGGTCATTGATTTGAACTCGAACAACAAATATATTCCTCTGACATAATTTGCAATGTTTGAAAAACATTACAAATGATGTTACAAATGACTTTATTTGAATGCTTTTGATTGTGACTTTCACTCTGCTCAGAAGGGGCACAGGTTGCGTGAGAAGTTGGCAGAAATGGAAACCTTTCGCGACATACTGTGCCGACAAGTGGACATCCTTCAGAAGTATTTTGACTCCTGTGCTGATGGTGTTTCCAAAGATGAATTTCAGAGAGACAAGGGTAATATGTGGTTTCAGTACACTTTAACGCGACCATAACATAAGATACTTTTTTACACATCTACATTTTTTTTTTTATAAATTCTTCCTTTTTTATTTTTGCTCTAAGCATAGCTGTGTAAAGGGGTCAGGTTTTAGTTTTAGTAGCAAATGGAAGCATTGTTGGTGCTGAAGGAGTGGTTCTGATGAGGCTCACGGAGAAATGAAGCAAATCAATATCTGCTTACAGGACCTTTGTGGGTTGTTTAATCTCTGAAGCTAAATCATTTCACAAACCCCAAAACATCTTTCTTATTGATCTTGCATAGTATGATCTGAAATATACTGCCAAGAAAAAACAATCTCCTTCTAAACCAGCTGAGAACTAATTATAGATGTTTAAAGTAAAATACAAAATGTCTAAAACTACTTTTGTTCTCTCGTCAGTAGTAGAGGAGGATGAAGAGGAATTTCCTACAAGTACAAGATCAGATGAACATAATCAGAACAACAATGGCAGCAAAGAGAAATGTGAGTGTGCCTGCTTCTACTTTCTGTCCAGTTTTGGTTTCATTTAAGATCCTCTAAAGAATTTGCATATGCTGCGGTTGCTTGGTCTGATGAGAATGTTTTAATTTTTCAAAAGAAAATATTGTGTTTTTAAAACGAAGATGCATCTTTTAAACTTGGTTACGATTATCCTTCCCATCTGTCTCAGTGTTTTCTCCTGCCAGTCCCAAAGTTATTAACGGGATCGACTTTAAGGGTGAAGCCATCACCTTCAAGGCCACTACGGCAGGCATCCTCTCCACTTTGTCTCATTGCATTGAGCTGATGGTCAAACGAGAGGACAGCTGGCAGAAGAGACTGGACAAGGTATGAGATAAATGTTTGAGTATCAAAAATAGTGGGCCGTTTTCTAAGAGGGTGTGTTGAACACCACTGCTGCGTGGAAGCGTTACCGACTGCGGAGCTTGTAACTGTCTGAGTTACGGTAGGCGTGTTGTCAGACAACGAGATTAAGTTGGAAAAATCTGTGTTGGGGTTTTGATCTTTTGTTAAAGTGTTAAGATTTAATTGAATTGGCTCTGTAATAATTTTTGTCAAAAACACTAAATTAAAAAAAAAAACATTCAGATGAATAAAAAGATAAAGCACTGTTTATTTGAATGTAGTGCAGATGCACTTGCATTGTAGTTTAAGACTTGCACAGAACTTTGATCCGTTGTAGTTGTTTTGGTGCTTTATAAATAAATCTGGATTGGATTGAATATAAACATATTATGAATGTGTGCTTTTGTTGTACGGTGTTTTGCGCCTTGGGATGGCTGCATGTTGGAGTGGCTGTTACTTTCATTCTGAGTTATTGCTTTTAAAAACTTTGATTCCTCTTTTTCTGGACGTAAATCACTTTTCAGATGACTATTTACTCTGGTATCGGATGCTGTGCAGCTGGAAGTATTTTTACTGAAACTTTTTTTTAACTTTTGAGCATATGTTATGATGCGTAACCATGGTAACAAGGTGTTTTTTAACAACCAGGAGCTACTGATTAACATCTCAAAAGCTCAAATACCTCATCTACAGCCTCAAATCCCAAATGAGTTGAAAAGGAGGCACTGCGGACAAATTCCCGTCCACCTGGCGGCGATGTTTGAGTACCTGACCGCCAACATCCTGGAGCTGGTGGGGAAACTTTGCTCGTGATAATGGGAGGACTGGGATCATCCCCCGGCACCTTCAGCAGTCTGTCCTTGATGATGAGGAACTCTGCAGACTGCTGGCCATCGCTCAGGGAGGAATTCTGCCTGGCATTCGGGCTGTCCTGCTGCTCAGGAGGCCCAAGAGGTTTGCCGGATCTGACAGCAAGCTGGATCCGGGTGGACGGATCGGTATCTGTTGCCAGATTCTTTGGATTCGCTGCAAGAGATCCTTCCTGTCCACAGCCATCTGCATCTAACAACTCTTGAATGAAACTAGGATAATGAGCTATGGCAACACTTAATTTCCCTTTTGGGATTAATAAAGTATTATTGAATTGAATTGAATTGAATTGGTATCGCCCATCCATTAACAGATGACTTTGACAGGATAATCTGGCTATTTAAAATGAAGTCCTGCTGTAAATTTACATAATTAATTGTGAAAAGTGATTGTACTGAGAAAACAATGACCTGATATTCAGAAATCGTTACAAGTGATTGGATTTGTTGTTTACAAATTGTTTTGATCTTGAGCTTTGTTTCAACTTTGTGGAAATCTGATCTAATCAGTCTGATTCCTGCGTTGGTCTGTCTTTAAAGGTATGCTTTCCAGGGCGGTTCTTACCCTGCTGAAGTTGCCCGACCAGTTTTTTTTCTCCTTTTCAGCTGTGTGTGAAAAAGGCGTGTCACACAACTAAAACACACAAAAGCCGGGAAGTATTTTCAGTGGGACTGCAGTTCAGTGAAACTAGCTTGAGTTTACATTTGGTGATAACTGGGACATTTAGCTATCATTTTAGAGAAGAGGAAAAAGAAATAGGACAAAACACACATCTCCGGTTTGTACAGATAGGACTCTTTGGAAAATGTCTGCTAGGAAGTCGCAGTTTTCATGGTGGAAGCCTTCGATACAGCGGAGCACTGAGCTGCTCAAACTTCAGACGCAGAGATGGATACCTTTACAGACGCACTCTCCGGTCCACATTAAAGTAGGTTCTGTTAGTACACAGCTGAAACCAGGATCACCTGTTTGTTTTCGTTACGGGGGTAAATGTCTGCACCTTCTTTTGTCCTCTGCTGGTCTGGTTTTGTCTGGTTTCTTGTACTTAATTATTCTTTGAACTCCTATTTCTTTCTTTGCTTGACTCTTTTTATTGCAATGTGAAGGAACTGTTCAATATATTTGTATTCATTGTCTTTCAAAAGAAAAAAAGCTAACAATCTTAATTAGATGGGGTGCTATGTCTAAAGAAAATCTATTAATTTCTTCCTAATTCCATGGTAGTAATTTGTTGTGAATTGTGCTATAAAACTAAATTGTGCTGTTTAGTTGTGAACACGACTAAAACATGTTGGTTACCTGTGTTTGAGACATGCAGACCATGCCAAACCAATCTGTCTGTGTGTGCAGGAACTGGAGAAGAGGAGGAGGGTAGAAGATGCCTACAAGTCTGCAATGAATGAACTGAAGAAAAAGTCCCACTATGGAGGCCCAGATTACGAGGCATGATAAAATGATCGAATCAATGGTTTGGAAACCACTTGATGAATACAGAGAGATTTATTGGCCTTAAACCTCTTTGCACCCTTTTAGTCACACTGGACCTCCTTTAAGAAATGAACACTTCTAACCCCTCTTTTGACTTTTCACAGGAGGGACCGAACAGTCTAATTAATGAGGATGAATTTTTCGATGCGGTGGAAGCAGCACTGGACCGACAAGATAAGATAGAGGAACAGGTGGGATGAAGATATGAGAACCATTTTACAAAATTAATCCCCTCAGTCAGGATGGATAAAATGAGCACGTTCAGTCTCAGAGTCTTTATCTCCTGCTAAACTACTCTTCATCCCTCAGTGCCAGTCTGAGAAGGTCAGGACACATCACCTAGCTCAGGTTCCTTCTAGTGATGTCTTTTCCACCATCAGTATGCACCGATTTGCCACCAAGGTAAGCAGTTTTTTAATGATCTCTTTATGACCTTTACTTCCATCCTAAAATAATCCTCCAAGTCGCCTTGTTTGTTTGCATTATTGTCCTGTGTTTAGCCACCTGATGCACTAGTGTGATCTGTCTTTATCACCTTCATCTTCTTGACCAGCACAACCTCACTGTTTAATATTTTCACACATTAAATCAGTCTGTGATTTCTGCTGTTTTTGAAAGCTGTTGTTCCATCTGCACACGAGGTGCTGCCTTGCCAGGTTGTGATCCATGGGGGCTTTCTTCTGTTTTGTTCTTCATTCGATTCTTTCCATCATTTCTCTGTCATGCAGTCCTGTAGCCATTCTCCTTCCCTGTCCTCGGCTGAGCTATTCAGCGCTTCAGATGACGTTCACAGATTCAGCACTCAGGTAAACTGAGAGCACCTCTAGGGGGAGGCAAGCGCCCCCCCGTTCTTTACTGCAAATAGAGCAGAAAGCATGTTTACTAACCACTCGCATCAGGACTTGACAAACCCTTTGTGTGTTTTGAATAGTTTTATTATTTTACATTAATGCACAGGGATGTAAACATCTAAAGGATGAGTTTGCTAGAGAGAGAAAAGTTTTGCTTATGCTGCATGAGTAAAATCTCAGAACTTCTGATTATTCACCTTATTGTATTGACTGACATCTCTCCAAACTTATATTTTAAACCCTTTTTGGACATTAAATATTACCCTCAAGCATGATCAAACGGTTAATATTTGTTTGGTTACTGCTCAGTAGCTACTGTGCTGTGCTTGCACAATAAATGTCTAACATGCTGAGAAGAAAATGGCTTTACTGTTTGCTTTCAGAGGTTTTCAGACCTCTGCAATAAAGTGCAAACACAGATGCATGATACATGGATTTCTTAAGACTGTTCATCTAATCCATACAAAGTGGTTTTTTTTCCCACTGATCAGTCCCCTGGTGTCTCAAATAGGCAGATGAAGTAAAGGCTGTCTATCTGGAACTGAATCAGTATCTTTGTGTCTCTTAGGTGGAGGAGATGGTGCAGAATCATATGACTTATTCTCTTCAGGACATGGGTGGTGATGCCAACTGGCAGCTGGTAATAGAAGAAGGAGAGATGAAGGTGAGTCCACAGGCAATGCTATGAATCCTCTCCCTTGATTTCTAGCTGTGGTTTATATATGCAAATATCAGAAGGTACTTTGTTTGTAATGGAAACATCAGCATCCCACGAAGGAACGCGTATCGCTCTGCCTTTCACGACCATTTCAGTCTAAGAACCTGTTATGCGAGAGGACGGGGTTATAATGTTTTGGTCAAACCTTGTAAAGGTTAGGTGCAATCTCAATCAAGATCTTACAACATGTTAGTTTTTAAAGTATTATGTTGTGGATGATTCTCAGCTACTACCATGCCAACGTTGAGCTTTTTGTGCTGCCTTGTGTGGATTAGCTGTGGTGTTCATCTTAAATTCAGTTGACTAACAGTTGATGAACTGTAAGATGTACACCCGATCATTTCTTTGAAAGTTTCATGAAAATGTGTCCAGTGGTTTGAGATATTGTGCTAATGCTACAAACAAAGACATGCAGCACAGATGTGGGCAGAAATATTTCAGCTTCACCTTAAGCAACGATGATGATCACAAGTGGGAGAAATAAAAACACTTAATAGAGAAAATGAGTTAACAGTGTGAAGTTTTGTGGCACAAATGCATGTCTGTTTAAATAATACCGCCAATCAGCTCAGTTTTTCAGCTTAAGATGCTTTATTTATTTATTTTTTAAATTTAGTTGTTGTGGTGCGGTTGTGAGATTGTTTTACAGTTCATTCATTCTGCTCTTTGTGTAACAGGTTTACAGGAGAGAAGTGGAAGAGAACGGGATTGTTCTGGATCCTCTTAAGGCTACTCATGCTGTGAAAGGAGTTACAGGACATGAAGTCTGCCACTACTTCTGGGACACAGACTTTAGAATGGACTGGGAAAGTATGTTTACAACTTGAAGACGCCATTCTGCCAACAATGTTTGCTTTCTCTTGCTTCAATGTCATGACCTGACAGAACTCACCTCTTCCTCCCTCAGCCACCATTGAAAACTTCAACGTTGTGGAAAAGCTGTCTGAAAATGCCAGCATTGTTTACCAGACACACAAGGTAGGCTTAGGTCTTTTTCTGAGTTTATAGACACGTCACACATTTGATCGGTAAGATGGCACAGTCTTTTTGGTGACTACCTGTTTGTGTTTCAGAGAGTGTGGCCTGCCTCTCAGAGAGACGTTCTTTACCTGTCGGCCATCAGGAAGATTGTGGCAACAAATGAAAATGATCCCGACACGTGGCTGGTCTGCAACTTCTCTGTTGAACACGACAACGCTCCTGTAAGCATTCTGTAATCCAGAACTCACTCACATTCATCACTTCTTATTTTCATTTATTATTTTCAGAATAGCTCGAGTCTTAAAATGTTCTCACAGTGTAAAATTCAAGAAAAGAAAACAACTATTTTCATCTAACCATGTCGAGTCAGGTCCTCTGGATGGATTCTTCTTGTTGAAATGTTGCGTCTTTTATCCAGAAGACTTCTTCAGTCTGAGGAGCTGCAACAAACTTAACACCTTCTCACTGTGTAGAGTGTAGACTGCAGTTTACTCTGGTCTCCAGGCCAGCTGTCACTCTTTCAGGGATGAAGATGTGCACATCCTTGAAAGAGAGGATTGATGGTTTGAAAGGAATAACCATATTATAAGAGGGGGACGGTTGAACACAGAGGCCTGTGCCCCTGTTTGATGATAGACGAGTTCTCTTCACAAAGAAGCCATCTTTGTGACACAACTTCAAGTATCAGAACAACATGGGGGGCAATGGTGTAACCCAACGTTCTTCAGTTTCAGTACTTGTATTTGGATTGTGATTCATTTTGGTTAAAAAGGTTTTAAAAATCTGAAACAAATCACTTTTTTGAATTATTTTTATGGGGGGAGGGGGGTTATATTTTATACATTGTTCCAACTTTTGGGCTGAAATTCTTTAACAGCTATAGTAATTATATAATCTATAGTAATTATATAATCTATAGTAATTCAGGGTTTGTGTGTCTTAAATGCAGAATGTTGAAAAATGTACGGTAGATTCACAGTAAAGTACCATTTCACAGTCGTATCTGTTGAAACTCGTTGAATCCTGAAGTGTTTTTATATTTCCTGTGTTCCTTATGTTGCTGTCTAGAAGGTTTTTGAGCTGCAGCTTTTGTTTCGATCCAAACTAATGACAGCAGGTGTAGCAACGAGTTTTAATCCAGGCCTCCTCCCTTTTCTCTGTTGTCTGAGTCTTTGCTACAGATACTCAGGCTCCAGCAGCAGATTATGGTTGTGTGCTGGGTTATAGCGCAACTGTTTGACAGTCATAAAACATGAATGTTTTTCAAATTAATATATCTATTTGGCTTTTTGAAAAGTTACTAAGCAACACCGTGTTCATATTTCAGCATGTAGGGTCGGCAGAACAACGTTGAGACATTCAGCCACTTGTAACTTCCTCTGCAACTGATCACAACTCGTTGAAATGTAGCGGACTGAGTGCAATTATGGCGTAATGATGCGGTTGGTTTGTTAATTAACACATGCGGTAATTTTGTTTTTAATCTTTGTAAACTGAACTTTGAACACGTAAAGCGTGAATTTGAAAAACGGTGAGCTGTATTGAGTCATACGGCGGTGGTGCCATCCCTAAAGATATTTGGCGTGATGTAATTTATGCACGCATCAACACGGCTCCTACATGATTACAGAGGCCAGTTTTTATAATGTCACACATTCGTAATTAAAAAATATATTATTTGCTTGAAGTTTTGTAATAACAGTTTGTTTGTTTCTGCTGCACACAACCTTCAGGTGTGCAGTTTCCTGATGGACTTTTACACTTTGCTTTGTACTGGACTGCAAATCAGGCCCAAATATACGTTTAGTCTGTTTTAACAAAAGTGCTCGTTTAAAAAAATGATGCATTTAATGAGCTACTCTTCTACATAACGGGTGAAAAATGGTGCGAGTGAGTTAACAAGACGTTAGTCACTGTGTCTTCATGCATAATGTTTGTTTTCGTGATGCCTGAAGTGCCCGAGATGTAAAAGCACGTTTGTTTCAGGGAGGTTATGTTTTACTGTATATCTTGATATAAAAGGTACAAGTGATAGATTCAGGCCTGTTAGCCTCAAGTATTTTGTAAGTTCAGCTCCTGAGAGATTCCTTTGCAGCCCTGGGAATGTTTGCGTTTACATCGTTTTGTTTTCCTTTCAGCCCACAAACCGGTGTGTTCGTGCCAAAATCAATGTTGCCATGATCTGCCAAACACTGGTCAGCCCACCGGAGGGCAACAAGGAGATAAGCAGAGACAACATCCTGTGTAAGATCACGTATGTTGCCAACGGTAAGCCAGCGCCTCTCCCGTCTGTCTGGTTTGGTTCAGTTTCTGCCCCAGTCAGCATTTTGACTGCTATAAATAATTGTCACATTCAAATTTACTTAAACATCTTAATTTACCTAAAAGTATATTATTAATATCTCACCTAACGTAAAGGTTTGAGGTGCTGCCTGAGGTGGACGGTTGTTAAATCTATTCGGTAAAACTGTTTATTATTAAAGAAACGTATCATTTCACTAAGAAATGTGGTTTTGTTTGAAGTGTCAGTCCACACGTGTGCCCGTCCCTTTACTTCTTGTAGACGAGGAGGTTGTGACATAAAGCAAAACTGCTGAAGAGGCAGTTTATATCGTCAGAGGAAACTAGTTTTGATCATAGTTGAAGAAAGAAAATAAAGAGGGCAGTACACCATCCTCCCACTGGAGGGCTCCCTGCTCCGTCCTGTTATTGAGCAGTTTCTTAATGAGTTTTCTCTGCATGGTTGCAGTAAACCCTGGAGGTTGGGCTCCAGCGTCGGTCCTCAGAGCCGTGGCCAAGAGAGAATATCCCAAGTTCCTCAAACGCTTCACCTCCTACGTTCAGGAGAAAACAGTCGGGAAGCCCATCCTTTTCTGAGCGCTCGCAGGTAACCAAAGGACCGCTCTGCGGTCAACTTTTATATTTTAGTTTCTGACTGCGTTGTATAAATTTAACGTTTCGTCTTTTTCTTTTCAGGCTTTTCTGTTGGGACGATGTTATTCAGCATTAAAATGACTCTTGAAAACCTCATGATCCATTCACCTTTCATTTAGCGTTCTCTTTCAAACCTCTGCCTGCAGGACTTCACATGTTCAGGACCTGATGAGACTGTTTTTACAGCTTTATTGTTCCCACCTCATCACTTCCTGCCACGTTGGCCATAAAAAGCACCTCTTAAGTCAATTCAAGAGTTTTCCAACAAGTTTTTTGAAATGTTACCAATAATTTAGCTTGTTTTGTAAATTGTTTTGTATATTTCTTATGATTACATATTTCTGGACTTTTTGTTGTTGTTGTTTTGAGTGGTCTGGGTGGGTGGGTGCTTTAATCACTAGTATTACAGCTACTTGTTTTGCTGCTAAAGAAACGTATGAGAGAGGAAAGTAGATGCTTGCAGGCACCGTGTTGACGAGTTAACCGTCTCCCCTTTCCTGCCTTCGCCTGTCCCTCTTGTGAAAACTCTTTACATAAAGTTTGATGGGGGGAGGGATGTCTGCTTCTAACCCTTTGGTATCTGTATATTTCTAGTTTGGTATAAGTTTCAAAGAGCACCGTAGACACAAAGTATTGTACAGATTAAAAAACAACAGAAAAAGTTTTTAGTTTACGGGCGTAAGAAATGTGAATCGACTGTTAAATGCTTGAATACGATCACAGCACTGGGCTGAGGAAAGTGCAGATTAAGCTAATTTGCTGATTAGCTCCTTTTTTAAAGACGTTTGACACATTAAATGTATTTGTGGTCCATCGATGCTGTTGTGAGCGGCATGTATCTTAAACCTGCTGGTTCCAGACATGTTGAAGCGACCTGCCGACAGGGTTCCTCTCTGAGAACTGAACGAACTTCGTACGCCATCGTTTTCAGCCCTTTGTGAGCAGGAAAAACATCCAGCTGTGAGTGTCTGGTATGGAAATAAGATTTGCCTTTCTCCAGGATGAGGTAAATATTAAATGTTGGAAGATTTATCATTTTCACATGAGACGTGTGTGTGTGTGTGTGTGCAGATTTAAACATTTCACGCTCCAGCAGCCTCCTGCTGTTTGACTGACAAACAAACTGCCCCCAGAATGCCTTAGTCACCGGGGAGAACCTTAAAAGTCTCGACTTTCTCTGTTTTACATCCACCAAGTGTGCATTTTTCAGCACCAACATGAAGCTGGGGGCGCAGTGGGTCAACATTTCACATCATATTACCTCACAACTTTCTTTAGATTGTGTTCAACGCCACCAAAGTGGGAATTCTGGGGTGGGGGGGGGACAATCCTGATGTTCTATCTGAGGTTTCAAAGATTCTGGGTGTCCGCTGAAGAGTGCAGTTAGTGTTTTTAAATATATTTTGTCAATAATCTTCACACTTTGTATATTTCTAAGTTGTACATCCGAAGTGTTATTATTTGCACTAATTGTAATGCAATTTGACAATGTTCTGTAAATTAAAATTATAATTCCACAACGGAGTTGAGTTTTTAATCATCCCCTGCTGACAAGCAAACTAGAGAAATTGTGTTTCCAGCAAAAATGCACAGTGAATGATTATTGCTGAAAAAACATGCTGAAATGTAGCTGAAATACAAGAACAAGCCTAAGTTGGCAGAAGGAAGCAGAACACATTTGCTGAATTGTGTTTAAATAAGCTGAAATTAACTATAAAAGCAGGAATTGGCACAAAAAAATTGCTGAAAAGGCAGAAATAAGTGGAAGGAGCTTAAAAAAAACCCAGTGGAATTAGCTGAAAAGCTAAATTAATCAAATGACTAAATGGTAGCGGGAAAAGGTTGAAACGAGCAAATAGCCCGAGGTCGGCCTGAAATTATCAGAAAAGTTAATTAGGCTAAAAGTAGCAGAAATTACCACAAAAACTTGATTTTATCTGAAAACAGCTGAAGTTGGCTACAAAAATGCTAAAAAAAAAAAAAAAAGCTGAAAAGGTAGAACAAACTTAATTTAGCAGAAGTGGAGAGAGCACATTTCTGCCCAATTAGGCTGAAAGTAGAAGAAATTGGCACAAAAAGTGGAAATTATCTGAAAAAAGTTGAAATTCACAACAGAAAAAATAGTTGAAATGTAGTTTAAAAAGCCGAAGGAAGTGGAGACGGCACATTTTTGCTGAATTAGGCTGAAAAAAGTTTAAATGAGTGCAAAAATTGTGGAGTTAGCTGAAAAGGCTAAAATTAGCATAAAACTGCTAAATAGTAGCTGAAACTTACATAAATAAGTTGAAAGGAGCAGTAATAAAGCATAAAAATAGCGGAAAAAATCTGCAAGGACACAAAGCAGCTGAAAGTAGCTGAAAATAAGTTTAAATTTGCAAAGAAGCTGAAGCAGGACAAAATGTGAAAGGAGCAGTAAAAGGTTGTAAACAGATCTAAAGACTTGAAGGATGTAAAATGAACAGAATTAATTTTCTTTGAGGAAAAAAATGGCAGAAAAGGCTAAATGTTTCCAAAAGCTAAAGTTGCACCAGTACCAAAAGTCAAAGCAGGATTCTCCTGAAAGAGCTGAATGTTTAAATGATTTGTTGAAATGGCACAAAAGTTGTGGAACAAGAAAGATGCTGAAAAATGGATCCCAATATGTGAATGCTTCATAAAGATTCACACAACTAGATTTCTTACGCGTTTCTGTCCGTTCTAAAGAGTTCTCATGAACCTCTCGATTAATCTGAATGAAATTTGCAGAAACTGATCATTTTGGTGTTCATGATTCAAGATGGCTGCCACAGCTAACTGAGCTTAAAACAAAAATACTCAGTTTCACACACTTTGACCTCAACTTTGCTGGAGTAGACGAGTGATTCCCAGCACAGATTCTGAGAACTAATAGATTTTGCGACAACTTTGTGCCTTTATTTGGAGTCAGCTGTTAGTAAAACATCACATAAATTATTTAAATGAAACCTTTAGAAACTAATCCGTAATTGTCCATCTATAAGCATCTTTCAGAAAAACATTGAAAATGGCCACATTAATCCATATTGGCCAATACAAAAGTATCCCTAACTTGCCAGTTTTACAAATATTGAACTAAACTCTGATGTAGTTGAGTCATTTACAACAAATGTGCCGAGTGTGGCATTTTGCAGGATTGCATGAGATTGTGCAAAATGTCATTTTCAAAGTTTTCCCAAAATTGCTACAACTTTCTCAACACCAGATAATTTTAGTCTAAATCTTTGGCATCCAACGTAGCAGGTTCTGTGTTCTTTTTAAGTAATTCTAGCCCTTAAATGTATTTCTAACAGTCTGCTTCAGGGAGTAAAATCAAGAAAACAGTCCATCACTGAATTTCTGTTTATTTATAGGAAGCTTCTTTACAGAATATAAATAAGCATTGGCTTTACATTCAGTGAATAAAGTTTTTTTTTTTTTTTTTACAGCAAATAGTAAAATGTTGTATTCTGTAATAAATTATGGTCCTAACTGGTGTCGTGGTGGAGTCTTGAGGTACTGGACAGCGATCTGATGCATGTCGCACAACTGTTTGATTTGTTTTTAAAGAGGACATACTTGTTCCGTTCCAAAGGATATCCTGAGTAAAAGCATCTTCAGTTTTGACACAAAACTAATCAGAAATGATCGTGTTCCTTCATTGTACGTGTTGACAAAACATGAAGTGTGCAATTGTAAAGGGAAAAAAAGTGCATGTTCACAAATCCAAATCTGTGCTTCTGTCATGTAGCCCATCCACCTAAGCAAACATTCTTAAAAGAAAAAAAAAAAATATATATATATATATATAGATTACAGTAATCTAGTGTCAAAAGTGCATTGTCTCTCCGCTCTGTGCTTCGCCCAGGATCCAGTAACCGTCTTCTCTCAGTTCAAGCATCCGTTTCTTCTCGGGCAGCGCGAAAGCACCGCTCCGTTGGCTGACGACTGAGTTTGGCCTCAACAATCGAGTCTTTTCTTCGCCTGGGTTGTGTGGCGTCCATCTTCCTTACTAAAGGCGCCGCCGTCAATTCACTGTAAACATTTCTCATCAGCAGCTTATAAAGCTGCAAATTGAAAACGTCTTTCTGTTTATCAGAAAAAAAAAGGCGTCGTATGTACCGCTCGTGTCAAATATATATTTACAGTATGCAGGAAATGTTTCAGACTTCATGTCCAGGCTTTGGAAAAAAAATATGTATAAAAGTAAAAGATGCTGCTTTGATACACGCTCCACAAAGCAGCTGAAGTTCAGCCCTGATTGCCATTGTTTTATCAGGCTTGTCTTCTTTAGTTTTCTTCTAGGGGAGGTGGGTTGGCAAATACAAGTGGCAACATGGATGCAGCAGGACTGAGCAGAGGCAGACGCCAGGCGGACAAGTCTGATGGAAAGCAGTGATTGTCTTACATGTAGCAGGAGGGAAGGAAGAGTGTAAATCTTCTTTTTCACTGCAGAGGAACAGAGGAATAAAATGAAGGTTGATTAAAAACTGTAATCAAGAAGCCATCGGTTACAACTATGAGATTTGCAAATCTCATAAACTAATGTACTACTAATGGAATATGGTAAAAAGATTGTGTTTAAACTAAGATATTGTGCTATTTTATTGAATTAAGAAAAATAAATTTGGAATTAGGAGCAGCAACACATCAAAACATTGAGATTGGGCAACAAAAGGTTGTCAAAGAAGTAAATGGTAGGAATAAGAAACAGCTCAAGGAGCTTTCTGCAACAAGGTGGTTGGATGATAAAATAATTAGCAACAGGCCAGTAAAAGGACTGGGTATAAAAAGAGCATTTTACAGAGACTGAAACTCTCAGAAGTAAAGATGGGACAAAATTGGGAAGACTGAATTTCCCATTATCTGCAATTTGTTGCATTTCAAGTGTCTGGACAAATCTCTACACACAAATATAAGACTAAAAGTTTATACCAGATATCTGTGATTGACAGGCTCTCAGACAAGCACTGCATTAAAAACGGGTCTGATTCTGATCTGGACATCACTGCATGGACTCAAACACAAATCATGGTCTGTAAACACAGTTCACCGTGTCATGTCATCAACATGGCACAGAAACAACACTGGTGAAAGTTACTAATGATCTTCTCATGGCCTCTGACAATGGCCAGGTGTCTAGACCTCAGTGCTGCATTTGATACAGATGATCACAATATTCTATTACAGAGACTTGAATATGATATTGGAATTAACAGGAACGGCTATAAATTGGTTTAAATCATATTTATCTGATACATTCCAATTTGTAAATATAAATAATCTTCTTCATACACCAAAGTTAGTCATGGAGTTCCTCAGGGTTCAATGCTTGGACCAGTATGCTTTACCTTATCTATGTTTCCATTAGGTAAAGTTATTAAACAGCATGGGATACATTTTCATTGTTATGCTGATGACACACAGTTGTACTTGTCCATGAAACCCAATGAATCCAATCAGTTACTTAGAGTCAGACTACAAGCATAAAAGTTTATACCGGTTGTCTGTGATTCAGGCCCTCAGACAGCGCTGCGTTAAAAACAGGCCTGATTCTGATCTGAACATCACTGCATGGACTCAGAAACACAAATCATGGTCTGTAAACACAGTTCACCATGTCATCTACAAATGCTGCTTAGAGCTCCATCAGGAAGAATCAGAAGCCACATGTGAACACCATTCAGAATCACTGTCATCTTCTTTTGGGGCCAAAGCTCATTTAAAATGGACACACAAACATCACATCCTCTGTACTAAAGAGGAGGGGGACCATCCAGCACAGTTCAAAAGCTTGCCTCTCTGTGGATATGGGGGTGCATTAGCGCCTCTGGCATGGCCAGCTTACACATCTGGAAAGGACACAGCTCAATGCAGAACAGTAAATACAGGATTTAGAGGAACCTATGCAGAACAATATGTTCAGACAGCATCTTTTTCATGGAGGGTCTTGCACATTTCATCATGACTATGGTCAGCTGGACGCATTACAGCAGCATGGTTCTGGAGTAAGAGAGTCAGGGTGCTGAACTGGCCTGCCTGCAGTCCAGATATTTCACCACACTGTGTGCATCACAACACAGAAAATCTAGCAAAGACAACCCAGGACTGTTGGAACAGACAAAATCCTACATCAGACAAGAATAGGACAACACTCTCCTCCAAAAACTCAAACTCAAAGTCTCCTCTTTTCTTAGATGTTAGTAAAAAAAAGAGGGGATGCTTCAGTGGGAAGCATGGCCCTGTCCCAATTTATTGAAATGTGTCGCTGTCATCACATTTTTCCTCTTAAATCGGTATTGTGCAGTCTATTTGTGTAAAAAATTGATATGTTTGCTATGCTCTATTTATAAAAACATGAGTTTATGAGATTTGCAAATCATTGAATTTTGCTTTAATTTACATTTTACACAACGTTCCAACTATTTTAGAGTTGGGGTTCATTGCAATAGTAACCCCGAGTGATCAGGAGAAAAAAAAAACAGGTTAAATTACCAAGTAGATATCAAGAACAGATCCATCATCACAGTCCATGTTCATGTCCATGGTGCTCTGCTCTGAGGTGAGGCAGATTGCGCTGTCCTCAAGTGTGAACGTGGAGCTGGATGCAACATCAGCCCTGAAACAGGACAAAACATTTGCAGGTGAACATTTTACGGTGTCTGGGTCGACAGCGGGTAAAGTAAAACAGCTGGATAAACCGTGTCTGAGGAGGGATGGAAAGGAAATGAGAGTGGGATGGGAAACCTGTCTGGAAGCCTGGAGCAAGAAGCTCATAGTCTCAGGGGGAGGCAAAGAAAATTTCCTTTAGACTGGCGAGAAATCTGCTCAAAGACTGAGACGGAACAAGAGATGGGATGGGCAAATGGTCTTTATAGCTTTAGATAAACGTTAAACGAAAAAAAACATAGGTAACTCCACTTTCTGTCAAGGGAAGGAAACTCTCAGGAAGTCAACAACTTTGTAGTCAACCTGATTCAAGATGGCCGTCACAGTTAATCAACCTTAGCTAGCACAAGAATGACTGTAGCTCTGTGATTACAAATCCTGAGCTAAAACGTAGCAGAGTCACCCCCATCACATCATCTAAACACTAACAGATCATCGTTTGTGAATTTGGCATGCAATGCAGCAGCTGATCTGCATATAAAAATAGATCCTATTTATCAATGATTGCTACTTTCAATGTTTATGCTTTGAGAGTAAGGTCTTTACAAGTAGCCAATAGGTAAATCATTTGATCTGGTTCAAATGAGACCTATTGAAAAGATCATCTGTTTTTTTCTGAGGCGAGTATGAGTAAAAAACTCATCATGGATTCCTTTGCCCACCAATTTTCATACCAAAGTTTTACTTAACTAAAATTATCTAATTTAAAATGGCAATAAACTGTGTGATCTGTTACTGCGTTGATTGTTGTGAATGACTCTCAGTTATCAAGTTCATGCTCAATAATCCAGGTAAAACATCCAACAATGTTCATTCAGGTCATCTGGACAGTTTATTTATTTATTTTTAAAGAAACTGTCCAGATGATTGAACATTGTTGGACTCTCAGCTACTACTCCGCCAAATTAAAGCTCGTTATCAGTAAAAAACCACAGAGTTAAATCCATAATTGTGTTGGCTATGGGTGACTGGTTGTGGTGGCCATCTTGAATTGGGTTTACCCCAAATCTTAATCAGCTGTAGATGTAATGATTGTTCTTTTTAAAGATTCAATAAAATCTGTTTGGTAGTTCACAGGATCCGTCGCTAACAGACTGTGATAGTTATCGACAAAGTTTTAAACACTGATCTCGCCCTCCGAGTATAAAACGGGGATCAGTTTCAGCTACTACCATACCAAACTTTAGCTCATTGTAAAGCTTAACATAAAACTAGCACCATATTCAGCTAACCTCATGGTGTTCATGTTAATTTGTTCACTGCTTTGTTTCAACCACTAGGGGGCTACAGTTCTCCTTGTCTGCACATCAGGTGACTCCCTGTACAGGATTGCTTTGTGACCTTTTTATGACATAAGACTAGCTGTACCCTTCCAAAGTCAAAAAGATTTACAGGTAGAAAGTTGTAAAAGGTTAACTCTCGTAGACAGAGATGAAAGGGTAAAAATCTAACGGAGCGACGACTGCAACAGGCTGATCAGCTGTCAGGACGAGGAGCGTCGGTGGGCTGGTGAATAGCTTGGTCCTGTTTTTGTCACAGCCTTTGTGGCACGTACGGCAGCACCAAGTAAAACTGTGTCAAATCTGCTGTTTAAATATTGATGGGACCAGTCCAGGGAACAATGCCAGGGCAGCAGCAGGTGACGCAGGCCACACAATGAAACCTCAGATTAAAATGAGCAAAAAATAATAAATAAAATACATGGAGGTAAAAAAAAGACTATGAGGTTTCTAAGAAGAAGGTGAGGTTTGGAATAGCTGCTTAAGGCGCAATAAAAACTGTTAATATAAAACTTTTAATTGTGAAGCTTTACCGGCGGACTTCACAATATGAACCGAAACCAACGATAACTTGTAAAATATTTTCAAAAGTTACTTTTGTTTTTTTTATCTTTGTGAACTTTAATTTAAAAATGTTTGGTCTCTTCTAACCAAAGACATAAAGAAAGTTGTTTTTATGGAATGATACTTGTTGAAGGGGATGCCCACGTCTGTGTGGATTAAAAATAATAAGATTATGTCCATACGCGTGTGTAAATATTGGATTTGTAATCAGGGATATTGATTCTAGCCAAACAGATCTGCTCCGTGATGCACGTTGCTGATAAGATTGTGTCATATCAGAGCAGGAGGGACACTAACATGGGAGTGTTTGTGTTGGGCGTGGCTGCCTTATGTTGCTTAGAGACACTTCCATCGTAATTTTACAGACACGCACGTTTCTGTCAAGTTTCAGAAAGAGACGAGAAGGAAATACCTCTCTTCTGTCTGGTTGTCCACGTTGACAAAGATGGAGGAGGTGGAGATGGTTCCCATGGAGGAGCCCTCGTAGAAGGACTGATTGGCAGGAACCAGATCTGGTTGTAGATGCAAGCCGAACAGGACTGGGGAAATAAATAAATAAACATATGTGATTCATGCTAACGTTTTTAAGCTATTTATGCGAGTGTTCAGTCAGCATTCGCACATTTTTCTGTTTGTAGGTTGTTGTTGTTTTCTTGTACGTTTTGTTGCAGACTACTTTCACCCACTTCATTCATTCACATATCAAAATATTTAGCTTGATCAAAAATAGTGGGCTAGGATTTTTAGTATTTGTAACTTTTATAGATTTTTAAATTACAAAAACTTCCCCACAGAAACACACCGAGAGCTCTTCAGTTCCTTCAGAACGTTTGTCGTCTAAAATCTACTTCAGCACATTTGCTCTCCTTTGCCTTCTTATGCTCCTTTTAGCTTTTAGATCTCTGCTGATGGGTGGTCAGAGCTGTGCTCTCACCCTGAGGCTGCAGGTTTGAGACAGATGCATGAAAAACATCTGGTGTAAAACAATTGACTACATCACACACAAAGATCTAAAATCTGAGATTGTTTGTAGCAGCCGCAAAACAAACAAAATGCTACTTTCTATTAGCTTTTAGCTACTGTAGTGCTTGTTTTAGCGTTAGTTTAGCTAATATTAACATTTTACTACCAGTTTGCTTATTTGATGTTTTAGCAGCACAAATTTTAGCTTTTAGCTACTTTTTGCTAAGCTTAGCTATCACTCACAGTTTTACTAATTTCATCCTTTATCCTTGCTTTTGCTGGCATTACCTGTTAGCTACCTCTTTGTTTTAACTTTTAATTACTATTTTTCTCATTTTAGCAATTAGTTACTGCTTAGCTGATTTTAGTTTTTATTTAATGTTTTGTTCCTGTTCTGCTCATTTCAACTTTAAGCTGTGATCTTGCTCATTTTAGCGTTTAGCTACTGTTCTTGTTTTAGCTTTTCACTGTTCTGCTCAGTTCAGCTGACATTCTTCCCCCTAACAAAAAGTAGTACATTTGAAATTCATTTTTGTAAGTTTACTTTAAGTTAAGTTTAAGTACAGTATATCAAGTATACTACGTACCATGTACTTGTAGTGTACTAGAAAGTATACTGATTTAATACTTGTTCAGACTAAATTGGGACATTTTTAGTTTATAAAAAGTATACTTCAAATATACTGTTGTAAGGTCTTTTTAAGTTTACCAAATTATACATTACAGTACATTCATCTACTGTATATACTTCTAGTGTACTACGTATATACTTGTGGCTCACAGTTTAGTTTGCTGAAGTATATTTAAAGTATACCACAAGTATACTTTTCTCTATATTGCCATTGTTCTAGTTATATACACTTCTAGTTAACATTTCAGTTTATTTAATTATACTTTAAGTACACTTCTATGAATTACCAAAACTACCGGTAATGCTAATTTTGCCATTTTAATTGTTACACTTGTAAGTTCGCTTTAGCAGATTTTAGCACAGCATTCTCACAAACACTCATTTTTCTAGTTTTAGTCTGAAGTGTTCATTTGAAATGTTTGCCTGGAAAAGCTGCTATCCTAAGCTCCATGTCACAAGAACTGGATTTGTTTAAAGTATCTTAGTCACTGTTTTGGGCATCTATACTAAAGAAATTAAATAAAAAAAATAGGTGATTGGCGAATGATCTGAAGATGGTTAAAGGATGGTAAGAGTCTGAGCTTCACGTGGAGTTTGAGTTCTCAGATCATTTCTAGCAGGGCCTCAAAGTCCCGATCAGTTTATTCACAGCCGGTGTCGGAAAAGGTCGGGTGGTGCAGACAGTCAGCAGTAATGGCTTCAGCTGCCTGGCACGCTGAAAGCTTTAAAAGTCACAAAGCAGGAGGACGCATTAAGGTGTAAAACCATTTTTTAAATGGGTAACTCAGCTTGAAAAAAGTCTTTTCACGTAAATAAACGTCAAATTATGGTCTGAAAGGGAGAATAGGCTGCTAAAAGGACAGATCAACTGTTTTTATAGTAAAAATCCCCAGGAAGATGGAATTTGACAGCACTGATGTAGTTTAAGCGTGAAGCTTTCATGGAATGAATCTGCGTCACAGTCGTCCCCAACTTTGGTCCTCAGGGGCCACTGCTCTGCAGAGTTCACGTTTCCTGCTCCACCTGATTCAGACGACTGAGTGTTCCTCTGCAGGTTCTGCAGGGGCCTCGAAATGATCGATTCCATTAAGTTAGGTGTGATGACGCACAAACATCTAAAACATGCAGGACTGTGGGCCTTGAGGGACGATTTATTGGATTCTTGGTGCATATTTGTTGAACGAAAGCTTCAACTGAGCATCAGCAATTTCTGGACACATTTTGAAAGAAGTCACACAAATGACTGACAAAAACATTTAGACTGAAGGAGAAAAGAAAGTGAATGTGAAGAATTACACAAACAGATGAGCTAAAGTTGCTAGCTTTGGACTTTTTTTAGTTTAAGGGATGTTTTTAATTACATATTAATAAAATGTGAGTAAAAATGTATAACAAATACATTAAAAAAACCTTAAGATGAAAAGTGAACATCCCTACAACGAGATCCTAAACAAACCTGCAAATCAACGATGGGGCGCATGAGGTGAAGCAAAGCAAACTGAAGGTTGTGTTATGATGACCCTTGACCCAAGAATCATTTTATAAAGAGCAGTTCTGAATCTTTACAGATCAAGAAGCTTTTTAAAAGACGGATAAACGAGAAAACCAGAAACAAGAACTTAGCAACTCACAAAATCGTTTACCAGCCTTGAAATCCAGCACATTGTGGAAACATACCAAACAAAATGGATGTTTTCTCGTTTATTACTTTATGGGTTCCAAACTAAACTAGAAAAAATGTGCATTTCCTGTGAAAATGCAGAGTGAATGCTTATTGCTGAATGATTTTGCTGAAAGCTGCTGAAGAAGCTGAAACCAAGCTGTAAATTTCCAATCGCTGAACCGTCTCTACTCGTTTGATATGAACAGTGGTAAATGTAACTAAAAATACTTGAAGGATTTTCAGAAACGCAAATAAATAGCAAGAAACAGCTAGAGACTGCCAGAAAATGCTAGCTAAACCTCATAAGAAGTTAAATGCTAGCAAGAAATAGCAAAAGTGTGTAGTTTAACACATTTTAACCATAAAGTCAATAGTTGTTGACCCACATGGCATCCAGCTGTGAATTTTAACATTTCTTTGTTTAATGGTAATCAATTTAGAGCTATTTAAAGAAAGCGGTGACCTTTGACCCCACAACCCTAAAATCAACATGCATCATTGCTGATCATGATGTATCCAACTGTGAAGTTTGACTTTCCTACATTACAAGATTAGAGTTAGAGCTCAGACAATAAATTGTCCACGGACCGATGGACAGCTTATGTTGGCTGGGGCAGCCATACTGAATTTTTATTTGGCCTTCAGGGTCATGGTTGAGGGTCACTCTCGGCTACTACCACACTCAATTTTAACCTAAAGTATCTAAAAATGAATTAGTTGAAGCTAAAAAAAAAAAACACAACAGATCACAAAAAAACTGACTTTAGTGGAAAGATGAATGAAAAGAATGAACCAAAAAAGCTCAAATTAGCAGAAAGACGTTAAAAGGAGCCAAAAACAGCTAAACTGAGGACAGAAGAAAATGCTGAAATGAGCAGAAAAATTCCAAATGATAGCATTAAAAGTTAAACTAGTGGGGAAAAAGCTCTAACTAGCAGACAATCAGCTGAGCGGTAGCTGAAAGACAAGAAAAAAAGCTATAAATAACAGAAAGCAGCTGAAGGGAGCATAAAAAGCTGGAATTAGCAGAACGAAGTTGAAAATCTCCAGAGCAACCAAAACAGCCGTGAATCAAACCCGTTGTTGAACAGTGCGTTCAGCAGGACGGATGATTCTCACAGTCCAAGAACAGCTGACTCAGCAGAAAAAAGTAAAAGTTGAATGTCCTGATGATTGCTCAATAATTCATGTGGAAAAATCTAACAAAGCTGAACGGATTTTTGTTTAGGTGGGAGTTTGCTGAAGTAGTCACAGTTCAAAAAGCAGTAAGGGTCCTCCGTCGTCATGTCTGTTTTAAACAGCAGCTACTCTTTACCAGGTGCTTCCAATTGAAATACCAGGGTATCAAAATGGCGGTGTAGCCCTCCTGCTTTGATTGACGTCGTTTTGACCAACTGGGTCGAGCTACGGTCTCTCCAGAGCCACTAATATTGACCGAGTGTGAGGTGTTCAGACCAGGGACACCCACACTCTTGCATACAGAACTGACCCATCAGCTGATGCCCGTTCTGACGCTACAAACGTACATCAACTTATTGCTGATGAACTTGCTGAAAAACAGCTGAAATTAGCTAAAAAAAAAAAACATGCTGAAATGTAGCTGAAATTAAGAACCAGTCTAAATTAGCAGAAAAAAATCCCAGAAAGAACATATTTATTTGCTAATTAGGTTTAAATAAGAAGAAATGAGCACAAAAATTAGGAAATTAATATAAATAAAATAGCTGAAAAGTAACTGAAAAGGCAGAAACTACCTAAACTACCTGAAGAAAGTGGAAAGAGCTGAAATGAGCTAAAAAAAAAGTGGAATTACCTGAAAAAGCTAATATTAGCATAAAACAGCTAAATAGTAGCTGAAATAGTAGAAAAAGCTGAAAGGAGCATAACAAGCTACAATTAGCCGAAATAAGTTGATTAGGTTGGAAGTAGCAGAAATGACCACAAAAAAACTTGAATTTATCTGAAAAAAGATGAAGTAGCTAAAATGCAAAAAAAGGTGGCTGCAAAGGTAGAACAAGCTTAAATTAGCAGAATAAATCAGAAAGAACATGTGTTTGCCCAATTACAGAAGCAGGAATGAACACAAAAAAGTGGAACTTATCTGACAGAAGCAGAAATTGGCAACAACAACAAAAAACAGCCGAAAAGTAGCTAAAAAAGCATAAAGAAGCTTAAATTACCAGAATGAAATGGAGAAAGCACATTTTTGCTGAATTAGGCTGAGGGAAGTTGAAATTAGTGCAAAATAATGTGGAATTAGCTGAAAAAGCTAAAATTAGCAGAAAATGTCTAATATCAGCTGAAATAACTGAAACTAGCAGAAATAAGCTGAAAGGAGCAGCTGAAATTAGCAGAAAAAGTTAGAAGAAACACTAAAATGTTGTAGTTAGCAGAATAAAGCAGAAAAGAGCTCAAAACTGTTGGACAAAAAAAACTGCTGAAAAATAATCAGCTGAAAGTAGCTGAAAAAACATTTAATTTGCACAAGGAAGCTGAAAGAAGCTGAACCAGGACAAAATGTGAAAGGAGTAGTAAAAGGTTGTAAACACACTGAAAGAGCTAAAGATCGGAAGGATGTAAAATTAGCTCAATTCATTTTCCATGAGAAAAAAAATGCAGAAAAGGCTATATGTTGCAAAAAGCTAAAGTTGCACCAATACCAAAAGTCACAGCAGGATAGTCCTGAAAAAGCTGAACGTTTTAATTTATGATTTGTTGAAATAGCTTGAAAACTGCGGGACGAGAATTGCACTGAAAAACGTACGGAAGAAAAATGGATCACAACAGTTGCGACTTCTTCATAAACATTCACACAATAAAGAGAAACAGGAAAACAATAGTGTGAATGTTGAATACGCGTTCACACAATGACTGAGACCAGACCAGGAACGAGTGTGAACTTAACGGAATAAAGGCTTTCAATAAATTGATGTTTTCTCTAACTTTGGAGTAAAACACAAACAGTTTCTTCTACTGTTGAGCCTCTTTCAGTAACCTTAAGGAAAAATCAGGAAGGCTAACGATCCGGTTTACTTTGTAACACTATGAACCACAGCTGGAGATTCTGGTCCTCCTCGATTATAAAAAAAAAAGGAACTCAGGCACATGACTTCTCTTCCTGCACCCTTCCACGCCCGTGTTTCTTCCGGTACAGAGGACTCCTTCACGAAGACCTCACACAAAGGTCATCTGCAGCTCCTGCACTTCATCACCGAGCGACTCATCCGACTCCTCCCTGAGCCGAGGTCAGAGCGTGGTCACGGGGGAGATTAGTTACGAGAGATAAGGATGGCCGTGTAGATACGGGCACAAATACCTCATCTGAGGGGAGTTCATTAACAAACTAGGCTCTGTTTCCTGTCCAATAAGGCTAAACGCTGTATGAGCCGGTGACAGCTTGTCCCGGGGCCCTGCTGACAGGACTGCGTTTTCATAGCTGAATAAATGAGGCTGTTGATTTGCCTCAAGTTGCTCTAAATAAGCCACAAAATCTGGAAAAATAAACACAGTTTTACGGGTAGATGGTGGATAAATGCTTCTGATAAGATTCTCCAGTCAGGTTTCAAGTTTCAACAAACTCTTCATGTCAGGGACTAAGATCACCTTGTGTTGAGAAACGAGTTACCGTATTTTTCGGTCTATAAGGCGCACCTAAAATCTTTTAATTTTCTCAAAAATCAACAGTGAGCCTCCGGGGCACCTTATGTATTAATTCTGGTTGTGCTTACTGACCTCGAACAGATTTTATGTGGTACACGGCGCTCAAAACAATCTGTCAAAATTAACTGGTTTCGCTTAATGCGCCTTATAATCCGGTGCGCCTTATGTATGAAAACAGACTCGTTCACTGATATTGTGCCTTACAGTCTGAAAAATACTGTAAAACCATTTTGATCAAATCTTGTTACCCAGGTTTTGTGTGTCCTCATGCCTAAATGCAAGACCTTGCTGATGTGCGGGTCTTCAATAGTATATGTTGAGAATAACCATCAGCTACTACCACACCAAATTTTAACTCAATATCTCTAAATCTGACTGAGTTATATATGTTTTTATGTTTCTCAAGATCAATTGTCTGTGGAGGCCAACTTGAATTGTACTGACTCTAAAAGGTAACCAGTTGTAGACGTATACCCACTTATTATTTTCTCAAAGTTTCATTAAAATCTGTCCAGTGGTTCATGATATATTTTGCTAACAGACAGACAGTGTTGACTCCAACAGTTTATGGCACTAGAACAGACTGATGCTCATCTTTTTAACCATGTGAAGGAGGATGTTTCATGATGGCCTAAATGTTTGTTTACCTTGTCCATCCAGACTGGCCAGGCTTCGTGCCCCGCACAGCCGGTCCCTCCGGTCCTCCTCGTGCCTCTCATCTGCCTGCGATGAAAGGATCTCCTGTGAGGACGACTTCAGAGCCGGGATGGACGTGCGGGTCCTCTTTGAGGGGGAGAATCGAAACGCTGCGAAGCAAAAAAAAAAAACCAAACTGAATGAGAACTGATGAAGGGTTGAAAAAAGGGATCTCAGCTGGAAGCAGGAGAGTCGGAGATGGAAGACCCTGATGGACGGAGGCTGCACACAGAATGAAACTCTAAGACTCCACAATTAGACTATATTAAACTGATAATATGCAAGAACCCTCAAAGCCCCACGAATCCTGGAAATGAATCCGTTCCCGTCGTCTCCCTCGGGCAGGACATGCTCATAGTTAATAACGTGGCAAGATCCTCAAATCAGTGCGTCAGCCGTAGTAATTTCCACAGGGGGGGGGGGAAGTCCTCGGGGGCTGTATAAGTTCTTATCCAGCTGATCATTTTTAACTTCAGCCACATTATGAACAAAACTGAAACAACAATTTCAATTGTAAACGTGCTAGAAGAACAAACTCGATCAGCTCTGTGGCTGAAATTTCTACAATCTTTAAAAACACAGCAGTTCTCCCAGAAAATGAATAAATCTAGAGTTTCTTGAAGGAATGCACATTATTCACTTCTGTGCATGCTTCGTTTTACACCATATGTTATCGATTAGCGCTCTGAGACTAATATGAATTACTCTCAGCTACTACCACTCCAAAGTTTAGCTCAGTCTCTGTAAGATCATCAAAGTTACAGCCACTTTTGCGTTGGCTAAGACCGACTAGCTGCGGTGGCCATCTTGTGTTGGGTGGACTCTACAAATGAATCAGTTGTAAATATACTTTTAATAAATGCTTTCTGGGAGGTTTATTAAAATATATCCAGTGGTTCATGATATATTTTGCTAACAGAGTCAAATAAACACATTCATGGCAGCATGCGATGATAAAGCGTAATAAATGCTAGCTACAGCAGAGAGGAAGGATGTTTTAGTTTCAGTCATCTAAAAAGTGTCTCACTGACACACATCGCTGTCCTCATCAGGCCAGGAGTTACAGTCCTTCCTCCCAGCTTCCTCTTTCGTCCCCCCCTTTGCATTTACACCATGCGACCTTGACTTACGCTGAGTTTTCCTGAAGACCCGGGTGCTCATGAACTTGAGGAAGCGACTGGCATAAAACGCGGGCCGGTGGACCGAGATGGAGTCCTGAGGACAAGCGAGGGCACAACGTCAGGCTTTTCAAACTTGAGAGAGAGCAGGCAGACAAAAGGCTCGTTCAGAAACGCAGCAGTAAGGCAGGCTGGATCAACTTACGCCATCGTAGACCAGAGCTTTCCAAGAGTGTTCCAACTTTTTAATCAACCTGACGAGAGACAAAACAGGAAACTGGTCACATACTCATGCTTTAATTTAACAGCGTCACCCTTCGGCGACTCCAACCTGCAACCTCAGTTCTGAAGAAGTTGGACCATCGTGTAAAATATAGATCAAAAAAATGAATGCAACAAATTACAAATCTCAAACTTATATTTCATTCACAACGGAATATACTTTGTAGTAAACATATCAAATGTTTAAACTAAGAAACTGCACCTTTTTTTAAAAAAACAAAAAAGGTCATTTTGACTTTTATAGCAGCAACAGATCTAAAAAATATCCTGATGCATGCCCATTGATCCAGGTAGATAAAATCTAACGAGGTTAAATCAGGATGGACGTGCACATCCTTGATAGAGAGTTGGTTTGAGAGAGGAATGAAGGAGGCCATCTTTGCAAAGAGAAACCTTCTATCATTAAACAGGGGCGGAGGCCTCCGTCTTCATCTCTTACAATGCTGTTACTCTTCTCCAACTAGTATCGCTCAGCCCGCTGCGAATAGCAAGCGGCCATCAGGGCTCTAACGATCAGTTGTTAGGCTGATGGTCCTCCTTTATCATGTGAACAATTAGTTTTGGCTGTCATCAGCAAACTGGTTGATCCACAGTGAGAAGGTGCTGCTCATAAGACTGAGTTTGTTGCAGCTCCACAGACTGAAGAAGTCTTCTGGATAAAAGACGAAACGTTTCAGCAAAGAAGAATCCGTCCAGACGCCCTGACTCAACCTGGTTAGAGATCTTAAAAATGTTGTTTCACGATCAAGTTTCTTATTGTGAATTATCCCTCCTTCTTTTAACAACAGTCTGAACATATTTAGGAACTGAGGAGACCACTTGGTGGATCTTTCAGAGAGCAATGTTCTTCATGATACAGTTTTGTTGTTGTTTTTTAATTGGTGAGGTCTGGGCAGCAGCTGGACTCCTACTAAACCCATGGATGCAGAATGGGGTGTAGCATCATCGTGCTAAAATAAACAAGGATTTCTCTGACAAATATGCCATCTGGATGGGAGCATGTGTTATAAAAACTTTTTACACATCCCTGCATTGATGGTGATCCATATAAGCTACCCAGACCATGGGCACTAATGCAACCCTATACCATCAGAGAGGCAGGCTTTGGAACTGTGCACTGATAACAGACTGGATGGCCGCCTCTTTGTATGAAAGACATGATGTTTGTGGTTTCCATAAAAAAAAAATCAGATTTTGATTCTTCTGAGCGCAGAACAGTTTTCTACTTTGCTTTGTTCATTCTAATTTAGCTTTGGCCCCGGGAAGACAACAGCATTTCTGGACGACATTCGTATATGGCTTCTTATTTGCCTGATAGAGCTTTAATCAGCATTTGTTCATGTTACTTTGAACTGTGTTTAAAGATTTGTGGAAGTGTTCTTGATGTAGTTATGTCCAGAACAGAATCAGACCCATTGTTTATGCAGTGGCCCCTGAGGGCCTGAAGATCAGGGACATCCATTACTGACAATCAGTTTTGTTCTTTCTCCACATTCTTAAACTCTTTTAAATTATGAACGGTGTATGATGAGATTTTCAATTTTCGTTTGGGAAGTGTTATCCTGAGGGTGTTCCATTATTTTTAGACAGTTTTTCACAGACTGCTGAACCTCTGCCCATTTTTACTTCTGAAGTCAGCCTCTAAAAAACTCTTTTTATATCCAGTTGTCTTAAAGACCCGTTGAAAATTTACATAATTACCATATTTTCTGGCGTATAAGTCGCTCCGGAGTATAATTCACATTTGTTATGCATCACCGCTGAACCGTTGTGTTTATTATGCATTTATTTAATGGTCAAAACTGCTTCATTTTGCCTGGGCGGCACAGCGCCATCCATCCATCCATCCATCCATCCATCCATCCATCCATCCATCCA